CAGCAGCAACAGCAGCAGCAGCGAACTGCTCTATGCACGCCCTGCTGCTGCTGCTGCCGTAGGGCGGCAGCAGGCTATACACAGGCCGACACAATACTCTGCTGCTGCTGCTGTTGCTGCACTTATAGGGCGGCAGCAGAGCAGGATCCGGAGGCCAATACATTGCTCCTTCTCTCGCTCTTGCTGCTGCTGCTGCTGCTGCTGCTGCATTTGTGAAGCCACGCACCTGCAATCCCTCAATAAGCAGGGGGGCGACGCGCCCCACAGCCAACTCGGGGGGAAGGGCTCCGGCGAGTTTCTGCAGCCAAACATGCACTCAAGCACGCTCCTGCTGCAGCAGCAGCAACAGCAGCAGCTGCAGCAACGCAGCAGCAGCCCTGCAGCAGCAGCAACAGCAGCCCTGCAGCAGCAACAGCCGCAAAGCAGCAGCACCAGCAGCGCTTCAGCAGCAGCAACAGCACAGCATCAGCCCCACAGCAGCAGCAGCAGCAGCAGCAGCTGACCGGGAGGGCGTGCTGCACCACGATGCGCTGCAGGTAAGAAGTGGCAAGCGGTGCTGCAGTCTCTCCCCCCACAGCGTCGAAGGAGGCCCGGGGGCCCCTGGGGGCCCCCGCCTTGCTGAAGCAAATTGCCAGCCGCGGCAGCAGCGAGTCCACGGCCCACCGGGGGCCCAACACCCCTATCAAGTCCTGAGATTTCAACAAACACCCACGCTGCTGCTGCTGCTGCTGGTGTTGCTGCTGCTGGTGTTGCTGCTGCTGGTGTTGCTGCTGCTGGTTTTGCTGGTGCCGCACTTGCTGCAGGTGCTGCTCGCGCTGCAGCAGCTGCATTTGCTGCAGCAGCTGCTGCAGTTACATGCAAGTCCATAAATGTGGAGTGCATGTATTACCCAATGCACTGTATACGCCAAGTGCAGCACAAATGGGTAGCAGCAGCAAACTGCTGCACAGCTGCAGCAGCTGCTGCGCAGCGCCTGCACCAGGTGTACGTACACCTCATGCAGACTCCGCAGAGCCCCAGCCAGCGAATGCAAAAGGTTTTCTAAAGTATTTAAAAACCTAAAAAGTGCAAATAAAACTAAATAAAAGAAGACGTGCATGCATGCAGCGGGTGTACGTACCTTGCATGCGCAGATGGCAGCCTGCCGCACTTGGTGGATTCTGTCGAAAAAAGAATCCAGAAAGAGTTTTGAAAAGAACATTAGAAACACTTCGGGGCCCTGAGCAGCAGCAAGCAGCGCAGCAGCAACCAAACACCCACACCCTCAAGCAGCAGCAGCAGCAGCAGCAGCAGCAGCAGCAGAAGCAGAAGCCACAAAAAGAG